TTTTGTGTGTATGAATGTGTATGCATGTGATATATATATATATAGAGAGAGAGAGAGCTAAGAGAGAGAGAGATGCAAAGGCCTCATTTTAATATCAGAATATAATATATATGATGCTATACCATAACACAACACAAGCTTTAAAATTTCAAATATTTTTAAAAGTCCACAGTCTCTTTAAAATGCCCCATCTCACTGCTGTTGCTCATAGAATTTCTCTTCATTCTACATTTCTCTCCTTGACTGGATTCCTGGGGTTGGGCCTTGTGTTTGGCTGTGGATCTCTGCATCTGCTTCCATCAGTTACTGGAAGAAGGCTCTGTGATGACAGTTAGGGTATTCACTGATATGATTACTGGGGTAAGCCAGTTCAGGCACCCTCTCCACTATTGCTAGCAATGTAAGCTGGGGTCATCCTTGGGGATTCCTGGGAACTTCCCTAGCACCTGGTTTCTCCCTATCCCCATGATGTTTCCCTCTATCCAGGTGCATGAGCAGACTTTTTGGAGTTCACTACCTATGATGAGACACCTTGCACAGCCTTCAAGCAGGGGTAGGGGATTGGACCTGCTACTACTAAATGTACCTCCCCATGGGAGGTCTTATCTTCTTGTAGGAAGGAATGGGGAATAGGTTGGGAGGGGGAGGCTGGAGGGGCAGGAGGAGGGAAGAGGGGAATCTTTGATTGGTATGTAAAATGAATAAAAAAAAATCTAAAAAAAAAAGTCCAGTCTCTTTTAAAAGTGAGCTCCTATAAAACAAATACAAAAAAAATATATTTTTTTATTCCAAAGGGGAAGACCTGGAATCAATCACACTTGAACAAAACTAAGATGTAGCAGTGTAAGCCTAAATTCTATAGCTCAATGTATAACATGTACGACTCACTTACTGTATTGTCTTCTAACTCTAAATGTCTAAGATAGTCCCACTACTCCACCTTTTCCGTCATCATCCACACATAGTTGTCTCATATACTTAGGCCAGCTCCAGCTCATACCTGCTACTATCCATAACAGATATCCAAAAATCGTGGGGTCTCCATTGCAAATGAAGCATATCTTCACCATGGGCTCTCCATGGGGATTCCAACTCTACCACACAATGTTAGATTTCATAAGCTCTCCATGACCCCCTTGATCTTGAATGTTCCAAATGAGGACCATGTGGGGACTCATACATTATCATGTTCAGCTTCCAGCTGGAGACACAGCCTACTCTTCTTGGACTAGTTTCTGAATACCGATCCTAAGAAAATGTTTTCTTAGTTTCCCAGTGAAGCACAGAAGTTTTCACCCATAGAGTGCTAAGCTCTTGTGAATCACAGCTGATTTTTCAGCTGCAGCTTGTTTAGCATTACAACGTCCAGTGAAACACAGGTTTGACCCCTGTGGTACCTTTCTCCTGTGAATCAGTGATTAGTCTTTAGCTCAATCTGATCAGGACATACATGAAAAAAGTCCAGGCCTCCACAGTCCCTCTTTCCTCAGCACTCATACCGTCCAAGCTCCCGCTAGGACAACTCAATAAGATCTGGACAATTTTCCAGCACAAAGTATTCCACAATCCTCTGGAAACAATACAGTCAAGATTGTCACAGTAGCATCTACTTCTCTGGTACCAGTTTCTGTTCTTGTTTAATTTTTGTTCTTGTGACTGACACCATGACCAAAAACAACTTAGGAGAGGAAAGTTCTTATTTAGCTTAAACTTTCAGTTACAAGTTACAGTCCAGTATGGAGGGATGTCAGGGCTGGAACTCAACATGATCCTGGAGCAGGAATTTTGCATGCATGCTACTTGCTGGCTTGTTAACAAGCCATTCTGATAAAGTCAATCCCTGAATTGTGAGTTCCTACACAGGTTTCTCTAGGTTGTGTCAAGTCGACAGGAAAAGGCCACTAGAACAGAATGCATGTAATGTTAAGTTTCTCCAGTCTTTCCTAGAATACTTTAAGTAAAAGTCACTTTATTTTTTTTTTACACATACAAACATTTTAGTGTGTGTGTGTGTGTGTGTGTGTGTGTGTGTGTGTGTGTGTGCATCTTTGTGTCCTACTGGGCACAAGTATAAGTCAGAAGACAATTACCATAAGGTTCTTTCTTTTTTTTTAATTATTATTTTATTTTACAATATAATTTAATTCTACATATCAGCCAGAGATTCCCTGGTTCTTCCCACTCCCGCCCCTCTCCCCTTCCCCCCATTCCCACCCCCATTCCCATCTCCTCCAGGGCAAAGACTTCCCCTAGGATTGAGATCAACATGGTTACTCAGTACAGGCAGGTCCAGTCCCCTCCTCCCAGGCTGAGCCAAGAATCCCTGCATATGCCCCAGGTTTCAAACAGCCAACTCATGCACTAAGCACAGGACCTGGTCCCACTACCTGGATGCCTCCCAAACAGATCAAGCCAATCAACTGTCTCACCTATTCAGAGGGCCTGATCCAGTTGGGGGCCCCTCAGCCATTGGTTCATAGTTCATGTGTTTCCATTCATTTGGCTATTTGTCCCTGTGCTTTATCCAACCTTGGTCTCAACAATTCTCACTCATATAAAGCTGGTTCCAGGATTTTAATTCAAAATCTCCAGCTTGATGGCAAGTGTCTTTGCCTGCTTGAACCATTTCAACTGCGCAAGTTGTTTACATTTGGCTGCAAATTGACTTATATCTGGAATAACAGTTGAACAGAGTTGAAGAACTTATAGAATGAAAATGGTTTCAGCTATGTCATACTCAATGTGGATGCTTTTATATTTAAATATTTTTTAATTGATACATTATCTCAGGTTCTAAAATGAATTAGGCTGGTTGATTGTTATATCCCTAGAATAAATGAAGCCCCAAAATAAGTAAATCTCCATAGAAAAGATTATTAAAAAGACCTAAATTTTACCACTGCGTTTATTCTTAAGGAAAAATTTTCCTCTGCTTTTTGTTTCATTTTTCTTATTTTTAGATACAAGTGATCATGAAACCTAGTATCATAATACAATTTATTAAAAAGATGCTATTGTATTTAGGAAGAAACTATGGCTGAAATAATTTCTACCAAAAATAACAATAAGGCCAATTTGTATGGTTTATATGTTAATTTAAAAAACCATGGATCAGAGTGATATATATGAGTGTCCCCTTGTCCTCAGAATGGCTGCTTTATGAACAGAAGCCTCTATGAATGATATATTATTCAAATGTTCTTTTTTTAATAAAAATGCTAATGGAAATGTTAAAATGCACATAAATTAAAATGCTCATAAATTAGGATTAATATCACATTAATGAATTATAATCCTACATTCATTAAGATAAAGTGGCGTTTCAATATTTGTTCTTGTTCATAAATTTAATACAATAAATGAAAGGGATACACTTTGAGATTCAATAAATATTTGATGTAATCTTATGCCTCAACTTTTAAAAATATTCAAAGTTAAAGCAGGAGATCTCAATGCATTTAGGTTCTTTGTTGCTATTTTATGTCTTTTTCATAATCTTTTCTTTTCATTTATTGAAGCGCTAAATACAGTTCAAATTGGAGAAGAAAGCGATAGAGCCTGTTCTGATTAAAAGGAATCCCAGGAACACACAATGCCTTTTGAATTTGTAGGAGTTTCTTTCGACAACACACCTACTTGTTTAAGGAAAAAATACTTTATATCTCTAGGTGCAAAAAATTAGGACTCTATTGACAGTTAAATAAGAGAGTTAAACAGAAATATGTGCATCTAAGCATTATTTCACAATGTTAATTATATAATTTCTTTTACAAATGCAAGATTCTAAAATAACATGCACTTATTTAGATTTACATTATGTGTGTGACTGTTTGTCTATGTGCACATACATGAACAACTTACATGCATGGTGCCCATGGAGGTTAAAAGGGGACATCAGATCCCCTGGACCTGGAGTTATAGATGGTTGTGATCCACCATGGAATGCTTAGGAATTGAATATTGTTCCTCTCCAAGATAGCTCTTAACTGCTGAGCCATCTCAACAGTTCCCAAATAATCAACTTAATAACTTTTTTAAATTAATTTATTTTTTAAAGCAGTAGTCTACATAGTGTCATGTTGGAAGCAACATATTAGAGTATTCCTAACTCCCTCTTGTGAACAAAATAAAAAAGACTTCTCAACATGGGATTCTGCATTTCTCAGCACCTACCTATGTCTGTAAGGCCAAGACCTTACTTCATATTAAAACACTATAAGTTTTGTTCAGTCAACATTCATAGATGTGATATGTGATAGATTTGAATTCTTCTTGAACAGCTGTCACTTTCCATGAAGTTACATTCTTTTGCTTGAAAATGTGCTCCTGTGTTCTATCATTAATAATCATTAAGTGGAATGATTTCCAGGACTAGAAAAATTGTTGAGAAGTAAAGAAAGAAATGAAAGTCTTAACTATATAATTTGAGTCATTGGATTTTTTATTATTGTTGTTTTGCATAACTATAGCATCAATCTGTCTAAACTCTTGGGCCACTCCATCTGACCTTATCAAATATGAACCCTGCAGAGGTTATGAGCCATGTTGGCCCTCCGGTTTTAGGATCTCATACTAAATATCAACCAATTTAAACAAACTTTAAGGAGATGTTTGTATTAAAACTGACTTGTGGTTCCTGCCTCATTGTACTTCATGAAAGGCAGTAATAAATAACATTCTGTGTATGAGTGTTTATGTATATCAATTAGTCAAAAAAGTATAGATGAAATGTTGTGTTTTCTATTCTTTCTCATCCTTTTGAAACCATGTGAGTTCATATTAAACACATTTGAGCACTTTGTAAAAGCTGAACTGGTGAAGTTCATTACACTTTAACGTAACATGCTGTGAATAAAACTATATATTATTTGTTCAACTTTGCTTAGCAGAGACTTAGGGGGTAGTGTAAAAGAATCAATTTGACAAGCAAGAGTCAGTTAAATCATTCAGAAAATAATTTAACCATCTCCATAACTAACTACTGCTATTTTTCATTTTAGTTGCACACAGACCTGGATCCTGGAAGCAAAAAAATCAAGTATATCCTATCAGGTGATGGAGCTGGGACAATCTTTCAAATAAATGATATAACTGGAGATATCCATGCTATTAAAAGACTTGACCGAGAGGAAAAGGCTGAGTATACATTAACAGCTCAGGCAGTGGACTGGGAGACAAACAAACCTCTTGAGCCTCCTTCTGAATTTATTATTAAAGTTCAAGACATCAACGACAATGCACCAGAGTTTCTCAATGGACCTTATCATGCTACTGTGCCAGAGATGTCCATTTTGGGTATGTATGTTTCCAATTTCACAGATCTGTTAAGAGTCATTTTTTTCCAAATAGCTCTCGGCATCAGGGATGGTTTGTTGCTGAATAAAAGACATTTATTTCCTTCTTATCACTCATTTGCATTTCCAAATCCCCTTTCTTGCCCTACGTTCCACAGCTCAATAGCTTTAGTCCCTTAGTGATAGAAAGTGACAGAGGAGTGGTTTTATTAAAATACCGCTCCTTACACCGCAGTATTTCAATAGGCTAAATTTGTATTCCTGTCATAGGCAAGTATTGTTACTGAGACGGATTTATCAAGATTTGTTCCAACATGACAAGATAATCCTATTGATATTTGTTTCATGTTTAATTATTTGTTTGTGTATATTCACATGCAGATGTAGTGCGCAGAGACATAGAAAACGATTTAGGACTAGAGTCATGCAGATAATGGCCTGAGCAAGTGAGCAGAGTCCACAGTGGATTATACAGTCACTCTTACCAATGAGTTTCTCCTTTTATGGCTCATTTACCTTATGGTGTGTACAAACTATTGCGACTACCATTCTCTTACTCCTTTCTCTGAATCATTGATGCATTTATTACCTAAAGAGCAAAGCAAAATGCTTTTCAGAATATGATTTTAACTCCTCTCTCCTGTAGGTCTGTTAAACTATTCTTCAACCCAAGCTTTGATATGCAAGCCACCAAATCTCAGACTATTTATGATAAAAGGAGAGTTTTCAGATCTCTTTCTTCCCTGACAGGTCAGGAGGAAAGATGCCAAATTCAAAGCACACTATCACAAATGTCGTTTCTGCACATGCGATGTACAGCCTAGTTTGTTTCCAATTGCATTTAATGATGAAGGTAACCAGCAAAGACAGACTAGACACAAGTAAAAGTGACAAAACCGATTTTGAAAAAATATCAGGAAAAAAAAAACCACCGAGGATTAAGTGATTACAGAAATCTGAATTCATTATTTAAAGAGTCCCGCAATCTGACATTAGAGTTTCTGCCAGAGATTCGGATCAAAAACCCTGTTTCTAGGATCTGTATCTCAGGAACGTGGCACAGATACAAACTCCAGGAAGAAAGTTATAGATGGAAAATGTCAACACAAAGATGATGGACTTCAAGGATGAATTTTTTGCTAATTATCAGGTACACATATCACCTTGTCCCTTACATAGCCAGTACAATCTTGACATGGTAGTTGCTTTTAGTTGCTCAGTCTGGAGTATCAGCTGCCCAATCAACATTTGGTCACGTACCCATTTTTAGTCACTTATTCCTATGGTTTGTTCATTGGGATTATTGTTTCTTCCTCATACCTGTCTGCATTCTTTTTTCCCCCCTTCTCCTTTACCTGTTTGTCCTTCTCCTCTTCTTAATCGTCCCCCTCCTCTTCTCCTTCCCCCCTCTTCCCTTCTTACTCTTTCTTCTTGTTTCAACCCCTCTAACTTCTTTCTTTTCCATTTACCTTTAATTTGTCAGCCTAGGTCTTCAGCCATTTGCTCTGTGTGGATAGCTTTAAAATCCCAACAACTGCTTCGCCTGTTTGTTTAATTAAGCCCATAGCCTACATGCTCACATGCTTCCTGTGGGTTTTCACATAGAGTCCCGAAGACCACTAAACACAATATTAATAACCAAAATTATGACTTTTCTTTGTATGTTTCTGATCCAGACTTCTACAATTTTCTATGTCCCACTACACACTGAACCCCCACATAAAACTTGAAAGATAGGGGTCAATTTTGTTGTTGTTGTTTTTCTGATCAGGGGTTATACTTTTAAAGAAAACTGACCCCCTCTCTCCCGGCAGCCAATAACTGTCACTATCTCCTCATTTAGTGATGGAGCTTCATGCCTATCTTCCCTCTTGATGCTGGGATTGATTGAGGTTAGCTTCCACAGGCATTCTGTATGGTATCACATCACTGTGAGTTCATCTGTGCAGGTACCCTGCTCTGCCCAGAAGGCACCACTTCTTTGTAGCCATCTATCACCTCTGACTTTTAGAACCTTTCTGCTCCCTCTTGTGTAGTGATCCTGGAGCCTCTGTAGGAGGCATGTGGCATATATATGTATATCCCATTTAGTGCTGGACATTCTGCAGTGCCGCCTTAATTGCTCACTTCATTCTTAGATCTAATCCTCCTAGATCAGACCCAGTGTCTGCAAATGGCTTGTCTCTGTAGCCTGCATATTTTAACTTGATTAAGCATTATCTGCATTTACAATGGAAATAATCTTTTATATAGTTCATAGCTGTGTGTGTGTGTGTGTGTGTGTGTGTGTGTGTGTGTGTGTGTGTGTGTGTTTTCCTTCACTGAATAAAAATACCCAAGCTCCTTAGTCAGGGAGGTTTTGATGGCTTTATTTTCATTTGATCTCCTGTGCCATACTAGCCTATAATAAAACTTGGGTAGAAACACCTATTTCAGCAGCAAATCAGAACTGATTTTAGCTCTTCATCTCTTACCCATATATTTCTTCTGCCAGGAATCCATTTTATCTACTTCTTATAAGAGGAATCCTATTTTTATTTATTTTTTCTGCTCATCAAAACTGAATGGTTTGCTCTATAGATGGCCAAAATGACACATTTTCTTGGGGGAAACTTTTATGAATTCCTGGCCATAATGTACCTCTCCTCCATCAGCACCACTATAAAAATAAAGCACACAAACAAGCAGAAACATCCCCATCTCTGCACATCGTTTAAATTCCGAAGTACAAGCAGGAAGTGAGAAATGCAAGGTGATTTTTCTTTTCCTTTTACAACTTCTTTGATCTACTCCTTTGGGTCAAGAAACTTACCCCATTTGTCTTTTTATCTAGATTTTAGTAAGACAGTTCCTAAAAACAGAATTATCAGCACCTTCAGAACACAGAGTGTGCTTAATTAGTGATATACAGTGAACAGGGAAACTGTGACAGTCCCATGCTACTGTTTCCTTTTCTTAAGGCCAACACTGTATATGTTGGCTATAAATGTATCAGAGGATGCCCTTCTGTGCATGTGTGTCACCTGCCTGATAAATATGCTAGAGAATAAAAGTCCAGATATGTATACAAATTTCAAAGTTAATTTATTGATGAAAAGTTATAAAAGGTGTTATTTGCTACAGAATGGCATGTGTATCTCTCTCTCTCTCTCTACTCTCTCTCTCTCTCTCTCTCTCCCCAAATGTGTGTGTGTGTGTCTTATCATGTTTTCTTCTAAAGGGATAGACTTAAGTAATCATTATACACACATACATGTATACTTTCCCTCAAATATACATACTGTACATATGCGCATGAATGTTTAAATCCTTAATATGTAACAAATCTCCCCAAATTCACAGAGACTTTGTTGAAATTACCAGTGCAGGTTTGTATCACTCTTTATTCAGGGATTGATTGTGAAATTTTAAAAGGTTAAATTATGGCCTAGTTGTATTGCTACTAATGATTCCCATGCTTAAATACAAGGTAAAGGAATGCTTTAAGAGTTTGTATGTACCATTATTGGTGCTTTGGTGGTGGTGAAATAATTTGTATTAATGCAATCCCCACATTACATTTGTACATTCTTACATGTATTGATATTAAGCAATGGGTATCTGGTTTTTGTTAGATGCTAACTTCTTTGGCTAAAGGAAGCAGATGCAGCTGTGCTATTCTTTACTCAAGTGTGAAATATTCCTTTCATTTCTCATGAAGGTGACTCGTGGGATGAAGGTCATCTACTGTTTCCGTTCTCTAACTCTTACCACTGTTCTCTCTCATAGTGTCTCTTCCCTTGCTTCCTTCTTCTTTCATTTTCTTCCTTTGGTACTGCAAAAATGCCAGCACTGCACCCGTGCACCCTGAGTAATGCCAGCGAGAACTGAGGGATTTCATTGATCAGGAAGTGAAAAAATAAAATTCTAATTGAGAAATTTACTGATATTAAACTGAAATGAATGTGATGTGATGTTCCAAAATTGCATACACACACACACACACACTATATGTATATATATATGTCCAAATGGAAGCCACATTAATTTAGAAATATCTTACTTGGAAGCTGGAGACCTGCTTCTTTTATATTCTACAGAGAATTTCAGAACTTGATGATAATTTGCTTCTATAGCAAAGCTGTGTGTGTCTTATTTTAACAGTGGAAACTGAAGTTACTTTTTAAGTTAAGTTTTGCCTGTATTTATTACTTCAACTAGTCAGTATACATCCTAATGATGTTGTATATTGTGGTAGGGATGTTTTAACTCTGAATGTAAGTCTAAATCTGGATTGAGGTACATGCAGCAAACTTCCTATTTGCTTTATGAATTGATTCTGGAGTTATTAAGTTCCAAATTTGATTTCCATTGTGAGAGTGACAAAGTTACCATTTTAGGCCACTTCATCTGCCGAGTACACACAGTAAATTCTAGCAGGAGTGTGCTTAGAGAATGTCAACCACCAAAGTGCTAACTGTGTGGCACTTTGATATCCAGTACTGATATCCAATAAAAACTAGTTTCTTTATAACCAACCCATGATTTACTGTTAACAATATCATTCAATAAATTGATGAAAGCATGGTGAACACCATGATCAATGTAAACTTGTTCAATGACAATTAGTCTATGAATTTACATGTTCGAATGAAGATTATTTTTGTTTAAAATGGCATGTTAGTCAAAAGGTGCTAAAGGGACATGACAGCAGGTAGAATTTGAGCTGTGGGTCATTGTTTCATTACTGTTGATGCAGCTATAGATTACATAACACTAGAGGTCATTTCAGTTTCATTGCAGCCTAGGACTGCTCTAACAGTGAACAATGTGCATTGAAAAGTTACCCCAGCTTGACGTGTGTGTTAAATCCTTTTAATATCTGCAATAGTACTGTGATTTTAGTACAGAGATAAGTTTCCCTAGTCTGTGTTGGTTTTAATCAGAAAACAGGAAAAAAAGTTGCTAATATAAAGCTAGATATTAAATTAAGGTGCTTAGATTTAAGTTTAACCATCTGTT